GGTGTTTTATCATGTGACTTGCCCCATGTCCCGTATCAGAGCATCTGTGATTGTGTGCCTACTTTGTGCGCTTGTGATAGTGTGTGTGTGTGTTGTGTGTTGTGTGTCGCAAGGTGGCTGCAATACACGTACACATGTACGCACACATGTACGCACACACATGTACGCACACATGTACACACACACACATGCACTTTCATGCACATACATGCACACACGCATGCACGCACGCATGCACCGCCACTGGCATGCAATGACTCACAAGCTCGTGTGTTCTTCTTGCTTTGCGTTTTTGCTGGGCCAGCCTCTGGCTTTGAAGACATCAGCACGGACGAATACGAGGGGTGGATCCAATACCAAATGATGGTGTGCATTCACAATTACTTCAATCGCAAGAAGCTGCACAGCCGCATGATGGTCATCGCCAACGCGCCTGTTTCGAACACGGAGCAGTACAAGATTGACGCTGCGTTTCGTCCGACCGTGTGCGAGCTGCACCACAGCTTTCTGCCTCTTATCATTGAGGTAATGATTGACGTGTGCACCTCTGACTTTTATTGCAATTGCTTGTGCACCAGCCACCACACGATACACACACACACGCGCACACAGACGCGCAGACGCAAACACACACACACACACGGAAACACAAATCCTGCTTGCTCACTGCTGCGTCCACCTTGTGTGCATGTTACAGTTCGAGCAGCAGCGTGCACACCGAGCGGCAGCAAAGGAGCAATTGCGTGAATACGCATTGCACGCTATCAAGTGCGTTCCCCACTGGGAGTCTGTGATCAAGGGGCTGATGTACCCCATTGGCATCGCTGTGGCCGGGAACTGTGTTGACGTGTATGGTTTCGTCCTTGGACACAAGACGTTCGCTGGTGGCCAGAAGATGCCAGTCATCAACACCATCACCCTAACATCCACCACGGTGCACCTCTGCTAGCATATGTTGTTGTTGTTGTTGTTTTCCTCTTGTTGTGATGGCTTGCTCCTCTTGCCCCTGACATGCTGCTCTCCTCGTGCGCTGTGGTGTCCCTTTGCTCTGTTTGTGGCGGCCACATGCTCTCACACACGCTCATGTGTCGCATATCTCCACACGCCTGCTCTCGTGCTTCCTGCGTTGTTGCGGTGTCAGCTGTCCAAGTTCTCCCGTGTGCTGGATGTGCTCTTGTCTGAGCCCCTGCTGGCCTACTACGACTCGCTCTACGCTCGATGCTTTGGAGCCCCTGCCACCACCTCTCCGCCACCGCTGCCATCTCCCCAGTGCGATATCCCACCTGCTCTTGTTGAGCGCATTCGCTTGAGCGGCGATTGCCCCGAGGAACCACAGCAGCCACAGCACCAGCAGCCACAGCAGCACCAGCAGCACCAGCAACTACAGCAGCAGCAGCAGCCACAGCACCATCAGCAGCAGAAAGACGAGGTCGTCTTGGCCAACATGCGCGTGTTCTTCGAGTTTGAAGAACTAGCGGCAGATGTGAAGATTATTGACGACACTGTGGTGAAGCGTGTGCCTGACGACCAGAACATCGACCGTATTCGTCTTATGTGGCGCATCCTGCACCCACGTCACCCGATTCGCGTCATCAACAGCAACACCATCGTCATGCCCTTCCTCGGCAGCGGCAAGTTCACCACGCCAGAGCAGCTGTTGTGCGTGGCAGAGCAGCTCCTGCGGTTGTGTTTCCACTCACTTCCCCACGCCGACGTCAGGAAGGAGAACATCGCAGTGAGGAACGCTGAAGTCGCGTTCCTCATTGATGTGGAGAATTTTGGAACGCACACGCCGGACGGGTTCAACTGTTGTCTGCTGGAACGCCATCCTGACTTGTTTTGTCGCTCGGGCGAGGACCGGCTGCCGTTCAAAAGCATCCACGACTTTTACTCACTGGCCATGGCATGGGCTCGCCCCGACTTTGGCGAGAGGTTTGATGTCCTGAGAACGTGTGATCGGTTTGAGAATGCGTGCCGGCGACTTGTTGAGTGGCTGCAGCAGAAGAAGCGTGACATGGCGCATAAGGGCGGTGGAAACGCTGACGACGGTGACCACGGACATGATGATGATGATGATGATGATGATGATGATGATGATGAGGAGGAGGAGGAGGAGGAGCAGCAGCAGCAGCAGGAGCAGGAGGGGGAGGAGGAAGGCTGTGAGGTGG